AGTCATTGTAGGGCTCCCCTTTTAAAGCAAAGAGCTTGTGTAAGAAATAGAATAGGTCATATTTCCAGACTTCTTTTCTGGGCACTTCTAGGACCATCACACTTGTATGCTCAGGCAAGGCTTATGAACTAAGAAACTGAGTGGAAACCGCAGGGCAGCCAAACTCTTAGCTTCAATAATATCCACCTAATATTCTCCCTGGATGTTAAGCTGCAAAGCAACTCAGAAAGAGAGGTAAAATATTGTAGTAATGGCTGCCAAGACAGCAAATAATTTTTCAACATCTTCAATATAATGAAAAGATTAAGTTTATTAGGTTCAGATTAGTCTCTTATGATTAGAGTGAGTTCCTTTCTCAAAGTTCAATTACAAAACCATCAATAGGATTTACTAATTTCACTAAGTCTCTTTGCTTCTGGGGCAAATTATTTTAATTACTAATATACACAACTCACACAGAGGTATAAAGAAAACCTTAGGTACAAAAAAGGACATAAAAATTAACTAAATGTTCTTGAGTTGTAGATAACTAATATCTGAGGAAAACAATAAAATACTATTTATTCATCCTCTCAAAAATAGTTGTAAAATACAAACATGGAGAGATTATACGCTAGAAAGACGATGGCTGCACTTGCTTTCTGGACACTGCAGTGAAATGGCATATATGGGCTCACAAGGCAAGCGGCAGCACACAGAAGACAGACAAGAGTTCAAGCCAGATACATTATCAGCATGAAGACAGGAAGTAGATGCAATGCCCCATCCCTAAAGGAGGAGCTTTGGCAATTGCCAGCCTCTTGGAGAGGCAATATTATTTTTCTTTAGATATGTGGCTCCTACTAGGTCAACCAAGATCCCGTGGACAGTTCCATACACAAGAGTATATGGGCAGCACAGTTGAACTCAGTGGGTTAAAATGTAAAAAGGGACACAAAGTCTGGTGGGTAGTCAAGGGTGCATCTGAAACAAGTTGGTGCAGGGGTGAATATAATCAAAATATATTGTATTAAATCCTCAAAAAGCTAATAAAGATAAAAATAATGCTAACATATAAACAACACAGGCTGCAATGTTAGCAAAAAACACCAGATCTCTTTCTATGGGTTGACTTTCATATGTCAAATAATACATATTTGTCAAATAATAAATATGTCAAATAATACATATTTACATTTCTACTAAAAGATATACTACTTTTTATTTCTTATCAATCTATACTGATATAAGCATGTCAAAAATAGAACTACTAAACAATTAGCTATTTTTTTCACATGTGATTTTGTAACTACAAAATATGCTAAATTTCTAAACACCTAACAACATCTGTGCTGTCTTTGTGTTGCTTTCATTGAATAATAAAGAAACTGCTTTGGGCCTGTTAATAGGGAAGAACTTAGGTGGGCAGGGAAGACAGAACTGACTGCTGGGAGAAAGAAGGGAGGAGTCAGAGAGATGCCATGGAGCTGCTGCTAAAACTTTGTGTGTAGACCATGACTTTGTGATAATGCAAAGATTAATGGAGATGGGTTAAATTAAATTGTAAGAGTCAGCCAGTAAGAAGTTGGAGCTAATGGGCCAAGCTGTGTTTAATTAACATAGTTTCTGTGTGATTATTTCAGGGCTAAGCTAACTGGGCAGCGGGGACGAACAAACAGCTCCCTGCAACACATCTGTGACTCATTTCTTTCTATTTTTTTTTTTGTAATCAGATGAAGTCAGATTCAAGCAATTCAAGTGCAGCAATATTGTTTCATATCTTAGTAACTTTTAATAATTACTGTGGGATTATTTCCCAGATATTTGATTTATTAATAGCAAAATCATATGACTGTATTGAATGACATCAGCACCCAAAGCAACTGTTATTCTCCAGTCTGGAAGGAAACCAACCCCTCAGGCCTCTTCTCAGAGACAAGTGCAATAGGCTGAGCTAGAGAAATAAAAAGGATGCTAATACAACTTTGACTTCCACAAGTTCAGCTTGTTGCCATTGAAGGAAACAAAGTTTGCCTTTGTTCTCCAACTAGTGTGAATCCTATTGACTTCTGTCCTTTGAGAGATGAATAAGACATAAATAAACAATATCATGTCTGACACATGCTTTCAATATGAACTCAGCAGAAGTGGCTGTAAGTACTGACACAGAGCTTGGAGATTTGTAATGATCTCAACAAAGTGTTGCTGCTTATTATAATTATTGTTGTAAGCATTTATTGATCTATCATGTGAATCATGCATCCAAATGTTATTAGAAAACTAATAAAGGTATTTGTCACTTGGCCTTTGCTCTTTAAATGTTTCAGTGTGTTACAGCCATAAACACAGCCACAGAACCTACAATTAATTGTGTGTTTATAATAATGGAAGACACTTATATATGGTAACCTGTCAGTTAAACAAAATCCCTATGCTACTATCCCCATTCTACAGTAGACTTTAAGGGTACCTGTTCTTTAATCTGAGTGATTTCCAGTAGCCATCAAAAGCATTTGCTACAGGAAAATATGACTACAATATACTCTGTTTTATGATAACATGAGCCAAGAAATTCCATTTCATTTTCAGCAGCAATGTGTGGTTGTTTGGTTCTGTTTTTTTTATTATTATTTGCAAGCAACTGTGCCGTAACTGATTTAAAAGATGATTGTCATCTTGTAAAGTTAATAACATTTTATTATGGAAGAAGGGCTGTGTTTTTCTTCATTTTATACTTTTTAGACAATAAGGAGAAACTTAGCTGGGTTCATAATATAATAAAGCTAAAACTTCATTAAAGAGTTAGCTGTGGAATAGCTGAGCCAACTGAAGAAGTGAGTAAATGAACAAAGTGCTGCATAGACAAGAACTTTCCTGTTTCTGATTTGCCATAATTTCCCAGAAGAAGAAGCATGGTAGCACATTGCAATGCCAAAAGAAAATAAAAGGCATTAATTAATATAGACCCATATCTTTTAATTCATTTCAACCTCTCTTCCAATTGACAATAACTCATTATCTTCTGCCTTGCAGTAATTTATATTAGCCTATCTGCTCCCTGCTTGGCATCACTGAAACAACCATGCAGAAGTGCAGTGAGGTGGCTATCACCCAAAAAGCCAAGAGAAAACAATTGAAGCCACTCATTTGCTATTTGTCTCTGTGTGCACTGACTTCCTTATCACATTCCTGTCCGTCAGAAAGGCACGCTCACCAGAGAGTGAGAAAGGAGGACAGTAGAATGAGTGTTTTGTTTTGTGCTCGCAAGAGCAATAGATCTCGCTGACCTGCCAATCGTAGCTGTTAGAGACATTATGCCATGACTGAAGGCCCTGTCCTCCAAGAGAGCTGAAGAATGTATAGGGACGGCACACAGCCTGGGAAGAAGGGTGTGGCAGAGAAAGATATTAGTCACACAGGCAAGCAAACTACCCTACTGAGAAGGAAGATGCTCTCACATTTGTACTGAGAGATGGCTTTTGAGGGGGAGAAAATGGTAATTTATTTCCAGACCCTGCCGATTTCCATATTGTACTCTCGCTGTATCATAGTCGTAAGCCTGTTCAATGACAGGAACAATAATTTCTGATCTTGCTGCTCGAGAAATAATTTTATTGATCTCCACTTTATTTTTTTATTTTTCCAGTGATTCAGCAGGTCAGAAATGCTCCCGTTCCAGTAGTTTCCTATCATTTAGCAAGTCATCCTGAGTGTTAAAATGCCTTTACAAGTTAACGGGAACTGCAGAGTGATTTCAGCACCAAGGAGAGTGCTCTGTCTTTTCCCCCTTGTGCGGTTGAGCTGAGCATGATGTTAAAAAGAAATTTTAGAACATAAATTAATAGCTACCAAAAAGCTTACTAATGGAATAAAACTTAATGTTGATACCTTTAAAATTAGACGGTGTTTCATACATGTTCATGAATGCAACAGCGTTCTTTTTTTTCATCTCTGAGATGGAAGTAGCTATTCCTCGCTATTTTAAAATATTTAAGCCACAATTTCTCCATGGATTTAGGTTAATTTGATGGCAACACAATAGAATTCAGTCATGTTGGATTAAGAATTTCATAAGCACAAGTCCAAAAAATATCATTGCTGCTGTTTCTTTGGTGTTGTCAACATGCTCAATAAATGAATGAATTGAGAAATAATAGACTAAAAATATGTTTAAGTGAATGAATGAATGCCTTGTTTATAACTGCTTTCAAATGCCCTTGCATGCCATACTGCCTAATCTGAGCTGTGAATGCATCTCTCTTACTCCTTTGTATCATGTCCTTAGATGGAACACATCTCTGTGCCCAAGTAGTCAAGGGTTTCCTTTGCTGTGCTGAAGAGAGAAAAGGCCAGGCCTCCCTGTCCTATGAGACTCTCCTGATTTCATGGACTCGGGAGTCCAACTACACAAGGAGGAAAGAACAGTAGCCCTGCTCATTCCTGAGCTGCCACCACAGCCAGACATGAGCTGGTTTGGGAAGTCCATCATCTGTTAGGGAAGTCAGCATCCACCAAGGACAGGGCCAAAGGTGAAAGAGAAAAAAAGAAAAGGTAACAACACAGGCTTTAAACAGATTCTCCCGACTGGGCATTGGGATGACTTCTCAGACCCCTGAGTCTTTCCCTTCTCCTGGTCAATCTATGCAATGACACATGTTTGAGCAAAGTATAGCCTCCTGGGTACAGGTAGGCACAGCCCAGTCCTTAGCTCCTAGGAGGCTTCCAGGCTAAGGCGCCACTCCACTTGGACTGTACTATCAGGCTCTAAAATGGGGGGAGCTTCCAGGCGAGGACTGATTTCCATTTCAAACTGCATTCTGGTACTTTGTACTCCAGCACCATTGGCCGATCAATATTTAATGCTTGGAGATTCTGACTCTGCGGGAGTCATGTCAGGGGACCCTGGGAGCCAATCTGCTTGAGCTTCTGCGTGATAATTATTCATAGGCTCCTGCCTCCTGCTCTTTCTCTAGCACGGTCCCACTCTGCAGACTCAGTGCCTTACTCAGACTCCTCTCTTGCTCTCGCCGCGGCTACAGCAGGACCCTTCTTTGCCTTCGCCACCGCTCCACGCGTGCACATCCCTACAATGGCTAAAACAGCAATGGGTAAGAATCGCGCTTCTCTCTCCCCAAGCTCAAGCAGAAGCCCTTCTCTCTGAGGGCTCTGAAGACATTGAGAGGTATTTTATAAAGGAAAAGACATTCATGATACATGGGATCTGGAAAGGTCGGAGGCAGGAGGAGGAGATGAGAGAGTAACGAGGAGGTCTTTGAAAACCTAAAGCAAAGGGTTTATTTTTTAAAAGATAGACGTAGATAAGTTGGCCTCCGATGGGTAAGAATTTTATTCTACTTCCATATTTAAAATTAAAATGCCATGGGAGGGGAGGGGGCTACCTTAACTCTGCCTTCAGTGAGATGAAGGGACATTTCAGAAAGTGGTTTGTAACGTCTTATATTCGTTCTGTAGTTTATAAAGAAAATAGAACGGGAAGGGGTTGAGGTTGGGAGAAAAGAGAAAATGCAAAGGCAAAGCGGTCCCATCCAGGCGGTTTGAGCAATGGGTGGGAACGGGGGAGGGGAGTGGACACATTTAATGGTATTGTCTCTGTTGGAAAAACCGCTAGTCTTGGGGCGCGGTGCAGGGAGGTAAGCGGCCGGAGGGGTGGGGTAAGACCTTAGCTTCTTTGTTTTAGGGAGAGGGAGGGGAAGGAGGAAGAGGGCGTGGAGGGCAGGGATGGGCAGCTGCAGGGGCGGAGAAGCGTGTGAGGCGGGGAGGGGTAGAGGGACCAGGCTCCCAAGACGCCAGGGTGGGGTTTCTTTGTGTGTGGAGATACGGTCCCCCGGGTGGGGAGGGGGGCACCTGCAGCGCTGGGCACACTGTGTGGACCGCCCCACCCTGTGCGGAGTCAAGCGGTCTCCACCCTGACCTAGCTGCGCGCTCTCAGTGGAAAGGGGGGCGGGTGGGGAGCGCAGCGCGACACCAGAGAACCCAGCCCTGCGGGGACAGAGGAGCCCCGCCACGCCCCGCGCACACACTAGCAGCCTGCTTATGCCAGAGACCTGACCGCTAACCTCGGCTGCCGCACCCTGGCCTCATTGTTCTCCAGTAGGGCTAGAGGAGAGTGGGTTAACATATTTTTCAAAACCACGTTAAATAGGATATTCAGACATAATAGCAAAAAGAACAGGAAAAGAAGAAAAAAGGGTTACTCCAAACTCCTTAGGTCGTTTCGGGGCGGGGGCCGGGGGGCGGGGGAAGAAGAAGTTTAGGGGAACCTAGAAGGCTGTACAGAAAATAATACAGATAAAGAAGTGTGAGCATGATAAAAGGCAAAAGAGGTCAAGGTCTTTAAGAGGAACCACGTGCAATTTCCATTTTGTGGGTCCGACAGGGCCAATTATTAGGAAGTCTTTTGAGCTATGTAAAACCGCAGGAGATTCCAGATCCAGAACCTTCGTTCTGAATAGGTCCTGTGCCTCGCGTGCGTGGCCCAAGGGTGAATAGACTGTGAGGGGCCTGTACCCAGGAGGAGACTGGAAGTCCCCTCCCCCATGCCCGGCTCTGGTTGCGGAGCAGGGAAAAAGATGTGGACTGGCTCCACCCTGCCCTGCCCCACCCTGTCCGTGGAACCCCGCAGATTCAGATTCCAGGCTGACTGACCATGAACTTGGGTGGGGCTCCTGAACAGTCTGCAGCACAGACACCCTTCTTCCACGCCCTGCTTCCCAGAACTGCCCTGAACCCCTCAGGGGATGCAGACACCTGGCCGCGCTCACGGTCGCGGCGATAAGCCCCTCCCAGCGGAGGGGTGGCAGGGCAGAAAGGCGAGCCCCGCCCGGCCACACAAAGACGCGGCCGCGCCCTGCCAGGCCTTGGACCACAGAGGTGACCCCTTCTCTGTGGTTCGAGAAGGTGTCCTCGCCCACGCACAGCCGAGAGCCCAGGTACCTTATCCCCAGCCCAAGCCCATGGTCCACTGTGTTCCAGGAAAGAGACCCCCATTGAGGGTCCTCCAGTGGGGCGTGGCTCGGCCCCACCCCTCGCTGCTAGACCGGGAGTGGCGAGCCAGGCTGGCACGCACGTGGTGATCCCGCGCGTGGACTGCGGCCAGCCCTGCAGCTCTCGCCTTTCGGAACTGGGCGTTCGCCCCCGCAGGAGCATCCCAGGAGAGGGTTCTGCGCAGTGTCCTGAGCTACTCCCGCTCGCCACGATTCGCAGTCAATCAGCCTGTCCAGGGGGCTTCTGATGTGGGTTGGGGTGATCTTCATGCACTGTACTCCCACCAAGGGGTTTCAGCTGCAGACGACTGGCTAGTTACTCCTCATCACCAGAACTGTGATTCCAAGTCACCCTGATTGTTAGTCCAATATTCACTCTCTCCTTAGTCTCGGCTGTTCAAAAAGGATGCTGGTCCTTTTGATACTGATAAACCCCTTGCCACTAATTCTTCTTGATCATCTTCGCCTCCACCTCCTCCCCACCCACAACCCAAAGATGATTTTGTCTCCTATTATTCAAGTTTCTATCAAGCAGATACGTTTTGGCTTCCCTTCGCTGTTGTATGTTCATGAGGCTGGGACGCATGTGCTGGTACTTGCTAAGGACAGCCTCCCATGCGCCAAAGATCGCTGAATAATTCTCCACAGAATTGTTTGTGGTTTCAATGGGCGAAACCTATATATAATCGAGATTATTCCCTCCACAAGAGGGCACATCTGTAAATATTTAAATATAGGTTTTGCACACAATTTTTGTTGTTTTTCCCCAAATCTGCTCTTAGAAGTGCTTTTTGATACAGTCTCAATTCTACCCAGAAACAAGAATGGTGAAATGGTAACACCAACCAATGAAACTCCCACCCCACATATGACAGGTGCAGAGGTCTTTCTGCCTGAGGCTGCACTCGTGAACGTGAAAAGAAACACTACCTCTGCAGTAAGAAAAGTGCCATTTTGGCTTTTGGGTTTTGTTTAAAAAAAATCCCAACTGCAAAGAATAATCAATTAATGTACAAGGCAAGTGCTTTTCTCCTGATTCCTTAAACAATTAGTGTATTCTGTAAGCTCGTGCTAAGTATGTATTGCCTACTCTCTTCTCAAATGGAGCCGCAGTATAAATTGATGCATGCATAACTAGAAATAAAAAGCTGAAGATTTTCAAGGATGTCGGGGTGGGGGACTGAAAGAAATAAACGGGGCTTTGTCAACTGATTTCACATATCTAACTCATACTAGTTGGGTGGGCGGCAGCAAGCTTGCTACGCCCAGGGAAGCACAACGCCAGTCGCTGGCACAGTGCTGTGTATTAGGGGATCATTGCCTGTGCTGTGATGGAAATCTATGACGGAAAGTCCGTTTCAAAATGATCGTTAATACTGAATGCTTTGTAATTTTAAAAAACAACTAAAATCCTGACCTCTGTTTTGCCAAAATTCCTAACGGTTTTGCACTGACTTACAGACTGATCTCGGGTAAATTTTCTATGACGAGAGGAAAGAGGCATGCTTTCTGTTAGAGCTGTTGCTATTTCTTAATCATTTAAAATGTTTAGCATAATTTAACTTTTTCTCTTTAAAAGTGTTATCATTACTTTTGGTTTTAAATTTTTAATTATGGATTAAGTTAGAAGAATAAGCCTTAGGTCATTTGGCACTGTTTGACTTTAATCAAATTCTCATTGTCAGTCATAAAAAAAAAATGCTACGAGGAGTTCCTTCCAGGATGTCATGAAGCTGGTTCATATAATAAAATAGTTTCCTTTTGTAATTTAGAATCAAAATAGTTAATTAGTTCTGTGGTTATTTGATGATATCTATCAAGCAAGATTTTTACATAAAACCCAAATTACTGAATATAAAATTTATGAATTCATCTCGAATGTCTTTTCATTGATAAATGCAGTGTATCTTCAAAAAATGCTATTATTCTATCCATTGATGGTTTCATTCTTTTAAATAAGACGGATTTCATGATCATGTCACTCCAGTAGCCAGTTGCCTACGTACAGCTAGATAAAACTGGTCACAGACAGAGCATGTGACAGCTAACAGCTCAAACCCAGACCTGGGTGTGGCCAGCCCCACACTGATGGTTAACCCCAGCTCTCACCAGCCCCACACTGATGATTAACCCCAGCTCTCACCAGCCCCACACTGATGATGGTTAACCCCAGCTCTCACCAGCCCCACACTGATGGTAGTTAACCCCAGCTCTCACCAGCCCCACACTGATGATGGTTAACCCCAGCTCTCACCAGCCCCACACTGATGGTTAATCCCAGCTCTCACCAGCCCCACATTGATAGTTAACCCCAGCTCTCACCACTTTTCTTTTGTTTGTGGAAAAACACAAATTGTTACCATGCAATCTGTAACAATCTATGAAGTGTGGCGGTTCACAAGAAAACACTCACTAGTTAGTGACAGAGCTATTTGCTTTCTGGGTCTCTCAATCNCCCAGCTCTCACCAGCCCCACATTGATAGTTAACCCCAGCTCTCACCACTTTTCTTTTGTTTGTGGAAAAACACAAATTGTTACCATGCAATCTGTAACAATCTATGAAGTGTGGCGGTTCACAAGAAAACACTCACTAGTTAGTGACAGAGCTATTTGCTTTCTGGGTCTCTCAATCGGAGACCAAGGAGTCTGCAGTATCTTTTCACCCCACTAGAGGGCAATCAGTTTCTCTAAGAATGATTTCAAATGGGCTTCAAACATTAACTGTTCAATAAAATCTTTCTTTTTATTGGGATCGTTCAATTGTTGACTTAATAAAGCAAAGCCATGCTCTCCCCCAGTGAGGGGGAGGGCATCTACATCTCCGCGGTGAGACCTACTGACTGTAATCTACAAGTTGGCGGAGCCCTGGAGAATTAGTCCCTTATGATCTTCCTTTCCAGTTTCATTACAGCATAATTATTATATCATTTATGTTACTTCTGGGGTTGCATGCTGCATAAATGGTAGAAAAAGTCAGTGGCAATAGCAAAATTATTTAGGAACAGATGTTTTAATTTGTAAGTAAAGGCATAAATTAAGCTCATGTTTACTTATTCGTTTATTTAAATATGATGCACGCTGGGCAGAGCCCTAATGTCAGAGT